GATCCTTCCTGCAGTGGGGGCCTAGGATCCATCCCATGGTGGGAGCCCAAGGGCCCTTTCCCATGCAGGGAGCCCAGGACTCCTCCCATGGATCCTGAGAGATGAACCCTGTGGAATGAACTTCATGGGATGGGCCCCGTGGGATGAAGCCCAGGGATGGACCCTGAGGGATAGACCCTGTAGGATGGATCCCATGGGATGAATCCTAACAGATAGACCCCATGTGCACTCCTAGGCTCAGCACATTGTCCAACACCAGGTTGGATGGGCTTAGCCTATAGCACAGGGAACACTAACCACTGCTATTTCTCCTGGACATCCCCATTTCCCCTCAACCCAAGCTGCTCAAGTGCCCAGCACCACCACTGCAGGTGTGTCCCCTGTCCCCCACCCCCAGTGTCCCCTCCTGGAGCAGCCTCCTGGTCTCCCCTCTGGACTCCCCTCCTGTGTCCCCTCCTGGAGCTCCCTCCTGGATTCTCCTCCTGGAGTTCCCTCCTGGCCTTCCATGTGCTGTTGTCGCCGATTATTTATGCTACCACGGAATAGTGATGGAATAAAATGTTTTCAAGATACCACAACCTTCTCCTCTTCCTTCTGTCCTCACCCAGGGACTGTGGGTGACACCTCAGAAGGTTGTGGGACCCCAAGGGTGGTTCTGGGTGGGCACAAAGGGGCAGATACTGGAGAGAGCAAGCAAGCAAAGATGAATCATGGAATGACTGGATTGGAGGGAGCTTAAAGGTCATTTCATCCCACTCCCTGCCATGGGCAGGGACACCTTCCACCAGCCCAGGGTGCTCCAAGCCCCATCCAGCCTGGCCTGGAACACTCCCAGGGATGGAGCAGCCACAGCTGCTCTGGGCAACCTGTGCCAGTACCTCAGCACCTCACAGGGAACAATTCCTTCCCAATATCCCATCTAACCTGTTCCCTATTCAGATTGTTGCAGAGGGACTTGGGACAAGGGCCTGGAGGGACAGGACACAGGGAATCGATTCCCAGTGTCAGAGGGCAGGGAGAGGTGGGAAAGGTGTGGGCTTTTAGATGCTCCTGGATAGTTTGCAGGATTTCCAGGCTGTAAATCAAACCAATGGATCCATAACCTCTAAGCTTTTTATTCCCTTTCAGACATGAGAGGATTTTAAAGCCTCCCAAGCAGGCCCTCCAGGACTGGATCCAGCCCCACATTCCACATCCATCCCATTTATCAGCAGCATTCCCTACCCAACCCCAGGCTGAGGCCTCTCCTTCCCTGTCCTCAGAGCAATCCCCTCTCCAGCCCAGCTGAGCTGCTCAGGGATAACAGGATTTAGGGACTAGACCACCCCTTCCTTCTCCATGCAGAGCTGTGAGGTGATTCCTTTCTCACTCTGTTTTCCCTTCCCTGTTCCTGCCCTTCCCTCTCTGCTCATCCTTAGCAACATGACCTACTTTCTGCTTCCTGAAGGTTTTGCTTTGTCTGTCAGGCTTGGTCTCTCCCATTGCTTCCCAGCTGCAGGATTAGTGGGAATTCCCTGCTTTCCTAATAATATGAAATGGAGAATTCCCTGGAATTTAGAGGAAGAGACAAAGTTTGGGGTTGGAAACCTAAAATGAAGCAAATGCTGTGGGTTTTATGTTGAGAGTTTCCCATCAGTTTGCTGAGAATGAGGCTGATCCTTCCTTTTCCTGACACCCATAAAATCCAGGGTTGCTTCAGACTGAGTTCAGCTCCAACCACACACTCAGGGACTCCCCACTAGGAGTTCAACTCCCTCACAGCAAAAATCCTTATGAATGTGGACATAGTTTCTTTTTAGGAATTTTGCACTGCTGATAAAATCAATCCCCAAAATCTGACTTTGCCAACTGCAGAATCCAACTGTTCCATCCTCTCCTGGAGGCTTTCAAACACTGCACGGGGTATTAGGTGCAAATGGAGCTGAAGCTCCACCAGCATTTGTGCTGTGGATGGACTTTTCCAGGACATCTTGGAGCTAGAAGAGAGCTGCAGAGTGACGTGGATAAGGCCTAGAGGGACAGGACACAGGGAATGAGTTTGAACTGACAGGGAACAGGTTTAGATGGACTATTGGGAAGGAATTATTCCATGTGAGGGTGTTGAGACACTGGTACAGGTTGCCCAGAGCAGCTGTGGCTGCTCCATCCTTGGGAGTGTTCCAGGCCAGGCTGGATGGGGCTTGGGGCAACCTGGGCTGGTGGAAGGTGTCCCTGGCCATGTGCACAATTATCTGCAAGGTCCTTCCAAGCCAATCCATATTCCAGGATTGTATGATTTTCTTTGGGAATACTCATTAACTCCTAAGCCAGCTCTGAAACAGTTCATGGGACAAAGACGATCACTGAAGTGACACTTGAGCTGACACTGCTGACAGGGGATGAAGAGCTGAAGCTTCTGAGTGCTTCCAGGAAAGAGGGAGAACTTCTGGAGCTTCCAGGTGCCAATCCAGAGCTGGAATTTGAGCCCTGAGAATGTCCTGTTTGTTGTACCTTTCATCTTTAAGACAACTCACTGAGGAGAGAGGAGAACACAAGTCACAGCACAGTTGAGTAACTAAAGACACATTGACCCCCAAATAAGCCTTTCCTGGGATGGAGGACTCAAAGGTTCTTTCTTCTGGGCCTGGATAAACAGGGAGGGGATTAAACAGGAGACAGGAACATGTTTTACTCAACTTATGATGAGAAAGCAAGAAAAATGGGATAACCAGAAGCTCTCCCTTGGCTTCACCCAACCACAGCCAAGAGGAGCTTTCATGGAGCAAAAGATCTCCTCAAGCTCCTAAAAATCTCAAGGAATTTCCCATCAATGCCTTTTTCAAAGGCTCCAATTCCTTCCCAGTGGCCCAATTTGAGTGCAAAAAGCCACAGAAAAAAAAAACTTGTATCAAAAGATTTATTGAAATTCATCAATGACAAACAGACAATAAAACTCAAAGTTTGGCTCTTTTTGGGAAGAGAAAAAAAAAAACCCAACCAACCAACCCAACCAAAAAAAAAAACCAAAACAAAAACCTGTTGCAAATGTCTTTATACAGATGAAATTTTGACTAGGAAATACAAGTCACTTCCTAAAGCTATTTCTTGTTTTTTTTTTCCAGAGGGATATGAAAGTAAAACTGTACATTCACTAGGTATTTTCAGTCCTTGGACTGACTTCCACTAGGTAAGAAAATACAATTTTGTATTAGTATCTCGTGCTTTGAGTGTATGAAAAAAAAAAAAAAGAAAAACTAAAAAAAAAAAAAGAAAACCTTTCCTAGCCTACACCATGCTGAACTTTCCTCCTGGATTTAGGGATTAAAAATTGCTTCTCCAAGTATAGAGCACAAGTGGAAGGAGTTTCTCATCACTTTTCAAATGGATTTTAAGGGGGGATGGAATTCCAGCTCAAAATAGTCCACACCTGATTTAAAAGGGTTCAAAGAGTTGGTTTATTACAAGGGGCAAATTCAACTTCATTGGGGACTTAGGAATTAGGAAGAGTTGACGGATATTTATATATATATGTATCTATATATATATTAATGTCTGCCATTTTCAGGGGACTGGGGATAAAATAACCCCCCAAAAAACAACCCAAAGAGAGAAAGGAAAACACACAACACACAGGGCAGAGCTTGCAAATTCACCCCCCAAACCACAGCCCAACAAAAAACATTTGGTCACTATTTACAAAGGGCAAAAGAGCAGCAGAAAAAAAAAAAGCAGGAAAAGGGGCTGAAAATGGCAGTCATTCCATGGAAAAATCACTGAGCAAGATGCCATTCTCCACCCTGGGGATGTTTGCAGCAATATTCCCCCCTCCCCCCAATTGCTTGGTGTGGGTGGATTTGGGGCCTGGGAGAGGTGAGGAGGTGCCAACTGGTTTGGGGATCATCCACTGAGCTGCGACTTGGGAGCCTCAAAAGGTGTCAAAAGTCTTCAATAAGAATAAGAAACAAATTCCCACTTGGTTTATACTTCCTAGTGCAGTTGAAGGATTGGGAGAGGGAGGCAAAAAGGAGCCAAGGGGAAATGAAGAGGAGGAGGATGGCAGTAAAAATAGGATTTTATTCCCTTGCCCAGCCAGGCTGTTCTCCCTCTGGTTCCCACAGCAACAGGACAGGCAGGAAGGAGCCAAGGGAAGGGCAAACCAAGAAAAGAAAAGGGTTGGGGTGGGAAGGGAAGTACAGGGTAAAAACAGTCAAATCACAATAGGAAATCTGCAAAATAAGGGGTGGGTTTAGTCCTCTTCGTCCCCTTCGTCCTCAGGCTCTCGTTTTCGCTTCTGGCCCTGCTCCTCCTCTGCACGGGGCACAGCATGGGGAACAGAGAGAGACAGGCAGTGAGCAGGGTGAGTCTGCACAGAGCACAGCCTGAAGAAAACACACTGTGCACCCCTACGCATCGCACCAGGGACACCACTGGTGTCTCACTGGAGCCAGCACGTCACTGTGTCCCTGTGTATCCCTGTGCATGACATACAGCTCA